TTGCCTTAGGCACTGCACCACCAGAGCTCCTTACTCTCATAAAGTATGAGAATAAATCTGACATCTTCTCAGATCAGTTCAGAATTCTTTCCATTTCAATGATTACAAAGGAAATAATCCAGCCACAAAGCTTGACCTCAACGGGTGCGACCAGTAACTTCTGATCGCTCAGGTCTTCCAAGGACCCACCCGTGTGATTCCCAGCAGAGCTCTCCATGGAAGTCATTCAAAGCCTCCTCTTTTCCCACAATTTCTTGCTTTCTTCACTTACTTTTTCACTCCTGGGTTGAAGGTCACGATGGTGGGCATGGATGGTGGTGTTGGTTTCTCCTTCGTGTGCAATTTAGAGGTGACTGAGTTGGCTTTTCTCTTCTAACACAACCTCGTGAGCTGTGAATCCCCTCACAGGACCTTTCCTCTGAAAACGCATAGCCTAAATGGCATGCAATAAATAGAACGTGAATTCCATACATATAGGTCATTTAGGGGAAGGGGTCGATGCCAGCTAGTCCCTCAAACAGTCCTACAGAAGTAGAGTCCGGATGGCGTCTATCTGTCACTCTGCGTGTATCATCATCAAAGCTCATCTATACCTTTGTCAACTCAAGAAGGAAATGGTTTCTTTCCCAAAGTTCCCATGCTATTATTACAGCCTCTTTTACGATCCTATTAACTGTCCATCGGTTTTCCTATTTATCCGTTGGAGTGTTCTTCATAATTGTTTCTTTACATAAAATTAACATTGTTCACGATCAACAGAAATTATTGAAGCATTTTGCTCTCGCTATAAGGAATGCCGTGTGCATCACACCTCAACCTGCTGAAGCCACTACAATGTGTAAGACACAACGGGAGACTTGACTCCCGGTTACATCTGGAAGCTTCCTTGGACAGTGACCCTCGTGCCCACACACAGGTGGTGGCTCCAGATGGGCTGTGTGATGGCCCGGCGGGGGGGTGCCCTGACACACTACAGAAGCAGACACAGGCTGAAGCTGAGTGGGGGAAGGCTATGTCCATTCACGCCCACGTGGCCAGGACAGTGGCTTATGACCTCTGGGCTCTGCGGACTCCAGACCCGTTCCCCCCGGAGCCTGCCCAGCCCCTCACCCCTACCCATCATCCCTCACCACACTCCCTCCAGCCAGCTTGGTCCCCAGGCCCAGGGAGGGTTTTTTTTTTCTTTGACTCAGCTTGTCATCTGGGCCTTAACTCCCAGCGATTTCCTTCCCGGGGTTTAAATCTTCTTGCGATGGCTGACGGAGGCCCCAGGACTTGTTGCTTTCATTTCCAGGTCCTCCTTTTCTCCCTTCCTGTCCCCTCCTGCCTGTATGTACCTCAGAGGGTGAGATGCCTCCCCAGGTGGAGTGGGAAGTGTAGCTTGAGGGAAGTGGCAGCCTAGTCTCTTTAGAAAGTGCTATGCTGAATTGTGTCCCACTCCCCCAAATCTGTGGTGGAATGCTAACCCCTATACGTGTGGGTATGGTTTTCTCTGTGATATTCACTATTAGCATGTACCCCAGTAGGGTGGATTCTAAATCTAATCACTTTTGAGTTATGAAAAGAACAGAATGGACACAGAGACACAGGGAAGAGAGGAAGACAGAGGACAAGATGCCCGCAGCTACTAGAAGCTGAAACGCACAAGGAAAGACCTCCCCCAGAGCCATGCCTGAATTCTGACATCTGGCCCCTGGACTGTGAGAGCTGTCCCTTCTTTAAAGCCCCTAACTGTGGTCTTTGGGTTACAGCAGCCCGAGGAGAGTAAGACAGCATGGGAGGGTGGCCTTCTCCCCTGGACACCCCCCCCCAAGAGCCGCTCCCCTCCTGTGGGCACTGAGGCCAGACTAGCCTCAGGGTTACAGCACTAAAGTGGGTGGGAGGGAGGTCCCAGGGCTGTGGTTAATTAGGCTGACCCCTTTCTGCTCTTAGAGGGGCTGGGACTATGTGTTTGTGGCCAGCAGGGTGGGAGTCTGGCCAGCTCTGCTGCCACTCACTGTGTGACCACAGGCCGAGGCCTTCCCCTCAGAGGGTCCCCATCCAAGGAAGCGCTGGCAGGTGGGCTGCAGGGTCTCCAAGGCTCCTAGTATTTTGGATATTTTATTCTGTGGTGTGTACTCCCCTCCCCCTGACTCTTTAGTTGAAAAATATTCAATGTACAGGAAAGTTGCAAGAATAATACTGTAAAAATGGCCTGGTGGGGGAGGCCTCTGACCTCCTCTAACTTCGGGCGGGAGGAGGGTCATTATCAGCCCAAGGCTGATTCCTGAGAGTGAAGGTCGGACATGGCCTCCTGCTCCCACCCTTTTTACCAGTTCTGACACCAGCTGTCCCTCCCACAGCACTCTCTATTTCTTGGCTGTGTCCGATAGTTCATTGCAGTGGCCACACAGAGCTCCCAGACAATACTCATGATTATGGGATTTATTAGGGAAGGAACAGGTTACAATTCAGGAGCAGGAATGCCCAGGATACAGTTCTTCCATCAGGACAGGCTCTTCTCAGCTGTGCCAGCAGGCAGGCATCTCCCTGTCCCTCAGCCCCTCAGCCCAGCCTCTCCCCTGCTCGGGCAAGAGTTACAAAGCTCTTAAGTGCCCAGAGGGACCCCACTCTGCCAGCAAGCCTCCTATCTGAAAATGCTCTGCTCTCTCGCTCTGTGGGCAGGAAGCTACCGTCATCTTCCTGGGCTCCTGGTTCTGCGGCCTCTGTTGCCATGATTTCTAGTATTACAGCTCTCTCTCGCGCTCTCTCTCTCTCTCTCTCTCCTGCCCCCACCCCCGCCGCATCCAGGAAGCTCCCACCGCAGGGATCCTGGGTCCAAAGAACGCACCCTCCTCCTGGTTCTTCTACCTTGGTGTTCAGGATGTCCCGGCTCTGCTTTGGAATTTGAGTTCAGCCTAGTGGGCTGACAAAACAGACCAATCCCCTTGTTAAGGTCCCATATACCTTTTTTGCACGGTCTGAGCCACTCAAGGGTGTTATGTATTTGATTGGTATTATTAGCAAGCTATCCAATCCCGTTCGTGGGGCACAAGCACCTCATTTGCATAGCCCCACCCACTCATTTGGTAGAAGATACTATGGCTGTTGTTGTTGTTGTTAATATGTGCCATTGAGTTGGACCCAACTCATAGCAACCCCTCCTTGGGTTTCCGAGGCAGTATCACTATGGAAGTAGATTGCCCAACCTTCCTTCCGAGGAGTGGCTGGTGGGTTTGAACTGCCAGCCTTCTGGTTAGCAGTCAAGTGCCTTAGTCACTATGCTACCAGAAC